CATCGAGAGCAGCAAGACCAAGCAGGCCACCAGCACGGATCTGGCCGCCATGCTGGCCATCCGTCAACGGGTTCCCGGCAATGGTTTTTGTGTTGACTGTGGAGCGCCAAGTGAGTGTTTAATTTGTAATTTTGCTATATTGTATTCGTGCAAAAGTATGTAGCGGGGAGAAGGAAGCGTTTCCGACTTTATAAAGTATATATATTCTTGTCTATCTGTCCCTCTGTCTGTCCGTCTGTCTGTATGAACGCTGAGATCTTGGTAACTACAAAAGCTAGAAGGTTAAGATTTTCCACACATATTCTTGGGCTTCCTACGCAGCGCAAGTTTTTTTCAGCCGAGAGCCACGCCCACACCTTTAAAGATTTCCGAGTAGTATAAAAACAATTTTGTTGTGTATTTTATACCTTTCGAAATGTAGCAGACATTTTTCTAATCGGACCATTCATTAAAAAGTTATGCGCAATCAAAATGTTTTTTATATATCCATCTCCCTCGCACTCCCTTGAGCTGAGTGACGGGTATTAGATAGTCTCTTATTTTACTTACGTTTCTTTCTAATTTTTCCAGATCCTGAATGGGCTAGCTTGAACCTGGGCGTACTCATGTGCATCGAGTGCTCGGGAGTGCATCGCAATCTTGGCTCGCATATATCCAAGGTTCGCTCTCTGGGCCTGGACGACTGGCCGTAAGTTTACTAAAAAATTGTTACCTCCTTTGATTATACTAAAATATATATAATTTCCTGTTCCATTAGATCCCCCCATCTCAGTGTGATGCTGGCCATTGGCAACAGTCTGGCCAACTCGGTGTGGGAATCGAATACAAGGCAAAGGGTCAAGCCCAATTCTCAGGCCAGTCGCGAGGAGAAGGAGCGATGGGTGCGCAGCAAGTACGAGGCCAAGGAGTTCCTCACGCCCCTGGGCAATGGATCCTCGGCGCATCCCAGCCCGAGTCCCGGTCAGCAGCTGATCGAGGCTGTGATTAGGGCGGACATCAAGTCGATTGTCTCGATCCTGGCCAATTGCCCCTCGGAGGTGACCAATGCGAGTGTGAGCGCCCGGGATGTGCGCACTCCGCTGCTGCTGGCCTGCGCCATAGGCAATCTGGCCATAGCACAGCTGCTCATATGGGTAAGTTAACACTGCGTCTATAAAATGTATAATGATTATTAACAAGTCATATTTAATTCCTGCAGAACGGCGCCAACATCAAGCACACGGATCATGAGGGTCGCACCTGCTTGGCCTACGCTCGAGCGGCTCAATCTCTGGCCACCGCCAAGTCGATCAAGGCCGCTGCGGCTGCGCAGGCGGGCACTACAATTCCGGCGCCCGCTCCGCCCACAAACGGCGGCATTCCTGCTCCCCAATACAATGTCGAGGACACGACGGCGCTGGTGGAGCTGCTCGAGGGACTGGGCTGCCCGGAGGCGGCTCCTCTGACGGCCAGTGGCACCTTGCCGCGGAGACGCGACACCCTGGGCACGCCCTACGAGAAGTCCGTTTCGGGCGTGATCTAAAAATTAGTTAAAATTAAAAGGATAAGATTAATGTGAATTTTCGTAGCAATTGTACAATTCATTAGATTTTGTTGTTCGTAACGGAATTAGTTTAAATTCGACCGAAAAAAAGATAGAGCGTTTAGTGTTTAGGTTTTAGGAATGTTGTGCAAATGTTTTATATTATTATTATTTGGCAGGCGTTGAATGGAAATTCACAAGTTTTATTTATGTTTTCTTTTAGTTTGTTTAGTTTCTAAGCCAAAAACCTGTACAGCCTTGTTGTAATCTCAAGTGTATAATTTATTTAATTTACGTTTTACTATTATTATTGTTTTTATAGTGTGCAGGTTTTTATATCGTTTGCAAAACAATTATTTAGTAATATTATCTTGTAACTCTCGATAACCATCAGCAGATTGCAAAAAGACTTTACGAAAATGAAAAAAACATACTTATACACCCATTAACAATAGATAAAAGCTGATGCAAATTATACGTATAAACGAAATGAATCTAAGATTAAAGCCAAAAACAAACTTATGCTAAACAATATACACGAACATATATATATATATATTATATACATACATAGTTGAAATTGCTTGATAATCGGTTTAAACAAATGAACACGCCCAAATGTAGCTTATGCTGAACCAAACTCACAAAATTCTTTGCTATATAAATTCCGACAAAAAGAACTCGTTTAACGGATTATACTGCAGAAAAAATGATTCTGGTGGTATCAAATCTGAGTAGACAAAAATTTAATTGAAAGTATTTCAAAACTATTATACAAAATAGTTATAAATCAATCTATAAATATTACTATATGTATACACCCCCTCTACATTGTGTACGCTATTAGTACGAATTACAAACCACACAACGTGACAAACTCAATCTAATTGGAAGAAAAAGTAGCACACAAAAATCACAAAAAAAAAACAACAAACAAATGAAAAACCCCTCAATAAAAATCTATTAAACATTTTATGAATTAATGTTTTATATAATTTTGGCTAGTTAATATTATGTAACGTGGCTAAGGGATAGGGGAAGGACTTTTGGGTCTTAATGAAATTATATACAACACCTTTCTTACTAAGAGAATTGAAAGAACAATTTATACATTTGAAGGAATTTAAATGAGCGCGGGCGATTGGGTGACTCCGAGATCTTTCCCGCCGACAACATCTTTTTTCTCACCAAAGTGGCCAGCACTGGTTCAGTAAGACCGTTCCAATCAGATTTATTGAAAAGCAACAGGACTGTTCAAAAGAAATCATAATCCGGTTGGATAAAATATTCACCAAAATTATGTCCTACGAAAGTTTATTAGTGGGAAGGACATTACAAAGATTGCAACTTAGTACAAATTTTGAAATATCGAATGACTACCGAAACAACCGCGTGCTGAAACAAAAACACTTGAACTGCTCAAAAACTGTTGATAAAAAAATTAATTCAACTTGTTTTTTAAATATTTTACGTAATTATTAGTTATTAAAGATACCGCATTATAATTATTTTAAAATTAGCGCCAATATCGAATATGTATATCGGTTGTTGTCTAGAATACACCGGTTCATGTCATGGCTGTTAAATCTTATTGGACTCCAGTTGGCGGCATTCTCATATCCCTTTAAAATTCACCGTCTGATTTTCTCGAATACTGCGCATAAATTGTTATTGCACTGTTCCAAAATCATTTCTTAATTAACCTTTACCTGTCTATAAATACGGCATTGGGAACATTCCAATATAAATAATTAAACAAAAGCGATGGGAGTGTCAAAAAAATCTCTTCCAAACAAAGAGGGTTGGTCTTGTATTTTGATTTACCAAAATAATATTATACAATTTAAAAACCTAAGGAAACAAAATCCTTGCTGACCTTTTCCCTAAATTCATTTTATTTATCAAAGTTAGGGGGGTAGCGATTTTTTGTGTCTCAAAATATTGTTGCATCAACATTATCATTATTATCAAAATATTCTTTCTCCTTATTCGTTGATATTAGTATAAACTTAAATATAAGTTTTAAAGTTGTTTTGCTGTTTTCCATCCTAGCCCATTTTACACTAATTCTCTCTTGTATGGTTGAATTAGAAACATTAACGCTGCATAATTTTCGACATTTCGGAAATTTCAAGGTAAAAAGAAAATATAAAATTAATCGGTCACTTGAATGAGCAGTTTTCACTAGTAAATGCACATGCTACATGACCGCTCATTAGAACCGACCGACTGGAGTCTTATCAGGTGGGCCAGGTGCATCTTGATAAGACCGCGCGCACACGCCACATTCGTAGCATACAAAAGTGCGCGCCTGAACGTGAACTTGAAATCCTTTTGTCCGCTTTCGTGCCCTCATTAAATTTAATGAAGCGTTTTGTCGAATTGCGTATCGTGAGGTTAAATTGTGAGCCTTGGCAATGGACTTGCGGCAGATGCTAGTGGAAACTCGACGGGATCGGAGGTGCTGCGCCATCCGGAAAGAGGAAAAGGATATTCGAGTGTATTGCGCAGCTCACGGAGTTCCAGCGACAATCCGGGGGAGGAAAGCTCCGGCAGACGCACCGATAAGGCCTATAAGTAATTCTAACTTGATTACTTGTTCTGGGTGAGACGACACTCATACGGCAGGAGATAAGGGATCGCAACATTTGGCGATCAGACGGACCACCGCTTGAACTTTGAGTCGCGTACACGCATTGATAATCGTGAAATTTATGCGGGCGGGACCTGCGAGAGCACACATCTGTGTATGTAAGTAGAATCATTTGCTATTGGGGTCGCCCGCTGTTATCACCTAACGTTTTTCTTACCCGGTACTCGAAAGTAAGGGTATACGTTGTTGCGCAAAGGTTTGCAGGATCGATATCTCGGGATCTAGCGGAGCCAGGTATTTCAGATCTAAAAACAAATCCTTAGTTATTACAATTTTCAGCCACATCCCAAATTTCATATCGTTTGAGCGGCAATGAGGGTAACATCAATATATTTCTCCAAATAAGTATGCAATGAGTAGTATAGGCTTAATGCCAGGTATTCTAGGGTCCGGACTCTGCAAGTTCCTACTTTATTCGCTCTTCTTATCAGTTGTTGTCGAGATTTCCAATTCGCAGCAGCAGCATCCCAGGCATTCGGATCGTTCAGTCAGTTCCTGCTCGTCGATCGGTGTAAACCTGAAGTACCGTTAGTCCCGTGGGCCGTTAAGAATCTTTCGTATTATCAAAAGCGATAATTACGCGCATGTGGGCGTGGGCGGTTGACAGTGAGAACGGTGTATTTGACGCTGCTGGGAGGTGTGTGCAAAAAAGAATAAATTCCGAACGCTATTCGAAAATCTCAGGTTGAAATCTCCCATATCTATATAGTATTCGATTCAGTTCACGGTGTGCCCGCGTGTTTAGAAAACGCAAAACAAAACGGAAATCACAAATGGAAGAAAAACAGAATGAAGAAATATAGTTGTATATAGAAGAAAAGCACGTACGCGTTCTCGTAATCAATGATTACGCCTACAATCAGTCTATATATACGATCCGACCGATTAGCCAGAGAAAACTAGTTGAATCTCTCGGTAATCTTCGAGGGGTTCCAGCACTCTATTAGGTAAACTAGGGATTCTGCGAGGTGCAACGAGGTTAATAGTTTAATCATAATTAAATCTAATAATACTTCTAAGTGTTTTCAAGGTTTTTGAAATTATTTTGAAACAGCATTTCTCTCCATTTGGTTTCTCTTTTATTTGGTACAACATCTTTTTTAAGAACATTAAAATTCCAAGTTCAAAAGGCATCAAACGCGGCGCGTCTAAACAAACAACCCGTAAAATAATTCGGCTGAAGGATTAATGTGAGAACAATTTGTCGGAGTTTTTATACCCGTTACTCGTAGAGTAAAAGGGTATATTGTATTCGTGCAAAAGTATGTAACAGGTAGAAGGAAGCGTTTCCGACCCCATAAAGTATATATATTCTTGATCAGGATCACTAGCCGAGTCGATCTAGCCATGTCCGTCTGTCCGTCTGTCCGTCTGTCTGTCTGTCTGTCTGTCCGTCTGTCCGTATGAACGCTGAGATCTCGGAAACTATAAAAGCTAGAAGATTGACATTTTGCATGCAGATTCTAGGAGTTCCTACGCAGCGCAAGTTTGTTTCAAAAGGGTGCCACGCCCCCTCTAACGCCCACAATCGCATATATACGATTTTAAAAATTTCAATATTTTGGAAAAGTAAAAATGCAGTTTTATTGTGTTTATCAATACCTATCGAAATGTAGAAGAAATTTTTTAAATCGGACCATTCGTTAAAAAGTTACGGCGGATCAAAGTTTTTCTCCATCTCTTTCGCACTCCCTTTAGCTGAGTAACGGGTATCTGATAGTCGGGGCACCCGACTATAGCGTTCTCTCTTGTTGTTGCTATTGCCGTTCAATTGAGTGAACTTTCCGTTCGATTGAGCGTAATTGATTAATAGATTAATCAGCCGGGGAGAGCGTAAGATGCTCTCCATTATAATCATTATAGTTGTGTCAATTCTAGAAAATGCACCGGAGCCGGAGAACTCAGCATAAGTGGAATTTTTATTATCAATTGGACGAGAATAATTAGTTCAAGGTCATCGCGAGCTTAAGCACCTAGAAAACGGGGCAACAAACAAATAGTACAAAATCATAACAATAACATAATAAACATGTTCTTGAACCTACAAATTTAAAGAAATCGAAAAAGTGTTCATTATCAAATTGAGTGTAATTGATTCGTTTAATTGAGTGAGTGTTTGCCACGCGAAGATAGGGATTTCTGTTTGTGTTTTCATTATTGGATTATCTCAAGAGAACCGACCGAAATAATATACAAGTTTCAGTATTAATTGACAGGCCCCCAAAAGAAATGAAATTAAATATAATACAATTACCGAACGAACGAACGAACGAATTACCATAACGAACACTGAAAAATACTAAGCAAAGTATATGAAAATATAAAACAAATTAATTCTTTAAGTAACAACAATAAATATGGAAATAACAAAACACATAAACATTAAAAAAATTGTGCATTTTGTATACTTTAGAATAGAAGAAAGTTCAAAATAATTGATTCGACTGGCTTTAAAATGGGAGAAGTGCTCGAAGAGAATGATCATCGCGTTCTTAGCAACTGGTTAAATGTGAACGATACGAATGGAACCATTCACCTGACCAAGGATATGGTGTTCAATAATGGTCATCGATTGTCCATCACAGTGTACAGGTGAGTGAAATACCGAATACCTAATCGCTGCGATCTACACCCACATTTTATTCGAATATTATTCAGACTTTCCGAGTCAAAGCTTATCAACTTTGACTTTTACTATCTGTAACATTTTTTCAAGTCTAAACTAATCAATCGAGGTGCAGGTGTGGGTGTCAGCCGTATATTTGTGTTATAAATACCTATAAATCACACTGGGCTCATCATCTCTGGTTTCTCCTCCGATGTCTGGCTATCTGTCTGAGATTCAATAATTTTCACTTGGAATTTGAACGTTTCGGTTCATTGCAGGGTTCACTTTTTCTGAATGCCAGAGATTCGAATAATCGATTAAGAGCGAGTCGCAAAGCTAGACAAGGCGTAGAAAGTGATTTATTTAGCACATAATTCAAATATAATAATTATTAAATTACATTTGAATTATAACCTTATTTGCTTAGCATTCTTATTCGTATGTCAAACTATATTTTATCATACTTTAAAGCTTTTTAGGCTTTTTAAGGTCGATTATATTTCAGCAACTCAATTGATTTTATTTTATTTTTTTAAATATTAAGAGTGAGTAATTGTGAGCTGTTGAGTAAATAAAAAAAACTTTTTAAATAATTGGGTAATTCACGGGGGTTTTAAAAGTACATAAATTTTATCCGCAGATTGTCTGCAACTGATATTCCAGTGACTATTCATTTACGCCGTTCGTCCAACAAGTTTACCTTTCCTAACTGCCATTCGTTGACCCACTTTTCGAGCCCACGACACCCACGCAAACACCCACCTTCGGGAAGAGTTCTTTAATTTCCCACTCACTAATTTAATCGCTTCTGAACCCTCCTCTCCCACGATATCTCCTTCATTCGGTACATTTAGCATACTGTTTGTGATCTCGACAATTGGCAATAGCACCGTGCTATATCTGCTGACCAAGCGGCGACTGCGTGGTCCCCTGCGAATTGACATAATGCTAATGCATCTGGCCATTGCGGACCTCATGGTAACTCTACTTCTAATGCCGATGGAGATCGTTTGGGCCTGGACCGTCCAGTGGCTGTCCACGGATCTGATGTGCCGCATGATGAGCTTCTTCCGCGTCTTCGGGCTGTACTTGTCCAGCTACGTGATGGTTTGCATATCGCTAGACAGGTGAGTCCGCAGCTCCGTTGACTGTCGCTAATGGACCAAATTGATAGCCAGATAAGGCGGCTCAATGTGTCAATCGACGGCTGACGGCTTTCTCACCACCTGGTTGTCTGTGTCTCTTGTCTCTCCATATCAGATACTTTGCCATCCTTCAGCCGCTGAAGCGTTCCTACAACCGCGGACGCATCATGCTGGCCTGTGCCTGGCTGGGCTCTGTGGTGTGCAGCATTCCCCAGGTGAGTAGATGATATGATTTTTTTCCAAGTGCATCTTAGAAAGATAAACCCAATTAACGTGCGTCTCCGGCAGGCCTTTCTCTTCCACCTGGAGGAGCATCCCAAAGTCAAAGGCTACTTTCAATGCGTCATCTTTCACTCGTTCAGGAGTGACTTTGACGAGAAGATCTATCAGGCGGCCTCGATGTGCAGCATGTACGCCTTCCCGCTGATCATGTTCATCTACTGCTACGGGGCCATATACCTGAAGATCTACCGGAAGAGCCAGCGCGTTCTCAAGGACGTGATCGCCGAGCGTTTTCGTCGCTCCAACGACGACGTCTTGAGTAGGGCCAAGAAAAGGACCCTCAAAATGACCATCACAATTGTTATTGTGTTCATCATTTGCTGGACCCCGTACTACATCATCTCCATGTGGTACTGGCTGGACAAACACTCGGCGGACAAGATCAATCCCCTGGTCCGCAAGGCTCTGTTCATCTTTGCCTCGACCAACTCCTGCATGAATCCCTTGGTCTACGGGCTCTACAACATTCGTGGACGTATGAACAACAATAATCCGGTGGGTATTACTATCTTTAAATCAAAATATAAAATTCTCCTTTTCAATGTATTATATCGAGGGTAATTTAAATAGTAAAACATATAAATATGCTAAACAAAAATTTTAAAATGTGCCAAAACATTTAAACGACCTCATAGGCAATAATGGCTATCATTTTAAATGTTTATTTATTAAGTTTATTCCTAAATAAATTTTGAGATTTTTAGTACAAAATGGGAAAACCGAATATTAATGTGGCCTAAATACTCGGTTTGTTTTTTGTTTATGCAATTATCTCCTTAAATTTAAAAATAAAGTATTAATATATAAATATCAATGAAAAGGCAATAAAATAAGCTTTATTTCTGCATTATTATGTTATTAATTTTTTTAGTTACAAAGCCTTTTTTTAAAGTTAAAAAAACAAAGAACCGAATATTAATGTGATCCACTGTGGTAAACATAGTAAACCATAGTAAAGCATAGCAAAAATAGTTAGCCATAGTAAAACATAGTAAAACAAAGTAAAACATAGTGAAACGTAGTAAAACATAGTAAAACATAGTAAACCATAGTAAGCCCTAATCATGGTACCAAGCACAAGAACGAACTAAAAAATGACTAAAAAGCGTTCTAACTTCCACATCCTCTTCCTTTCCAGTCGGTGAACAACAGGCACACATCGCTGTCCAATCGCCTGGACTCCTCCAATCAGCTGATGCAGAAGCAGCTGACCAACAATTCGCTGCTCAACGGAAGGGGCCAGGCGATGGCAGCCGCTGTGGCGACCACCACAAAGTTGGCCAATGCGGTGGGTCTGAAGAGCAACGCCAACTCAAATGGTTCTGCTGCAGCTGCGGGCAAAGAGGTCACCCATGTTCCCCCGTCGCCTCCCCTTAAAGTGTCCATAGCTCCGCTGGCCAGTGAAGACGAGGCCAACGACGATTCATGCCTCAGTGCTGTGACCATCAGGTGCCAGGATCAATCCAGGTTCCACCAGAAGTAATTTCGGTCTCTACACCCTTCCCTATCTTCTTGTCACCTCAAAGTAACAATGCTCATACTCATATTCTCATTTTCTACTTACAAGATTTACATGGAGCGACTCTGCAAAATCCCTTTTCCTTTCAAGTTTCGCCGTAGGGTTTTATGTTGTGGTTATAGGTTCAAGATACATGCACAAATTATTAAATTATACACAATGTGAAGAACAAAAAGTAATCATTGAGTGAGTTTAGCTGTTTAGACTAAAGACTAACCAATGAATTGTCATCAAAGTCTTATTTCCAAATCTGTTATTCCTACCCTGCAAATTGCAACAGCTGAAAGTATACTGTCTCCGTGAAATCTATCTTAAAGTTCAACCCATGCCAAGCCTTAGTCTACTATTAGTTTCTGGGTTAATGCAGGGAAATCCCTACACCCAAAAGCTCACCCGCAAGAGATCCACTCTAAAAGCCATTACCCAACCGCACTTCATTTTATGTCAACTCATCTGGGCATCAACAAGAGCCAAGTCTAAATAAACACATATACTTTCAGTTGTGGCGACTCCATCGAAATGACCAGTGTGGTTAAGTAAACAATAACAAATAGAGCTCCGAGAGCAACTGGATCAATTAAGCGATCTGCTACTGTTCATCTGGAGAAGTCGGCTTGGAACAAAGGGCATTTGATTTGCTAACCAGCTTAGTTTGGAATTTTCATCGTAAATTCTTTTGGCATTTGCATTTAGCTAGCTACAAATTAAAATGTTTTCAAGACACAACAAAACGCCAATGCAGGAAAGATACAAGTTCCGATTTTAAATCGCTTTGTTTTGGACCACCAAATGTTTGGAGAACAAACCTATCGCATAGGAAATACGCTTAAGATGTAATACCGCTTACTATTAGAAATACTCTAGTTAGTCGGATTATAGCTTATTTTAAATTAATTTATTCATAACATATAACTCTAAACGAAATCGAAATAAAAATATCTAAAAAATTATAGAAGACAGCCTCTTGAATTCTGATTTTGTCGGTTTTGTTTGTGCTGGAACTTTTGTTAAGTTGGCGTTAATCACTAGCTTTATGGCCCAGGCCCTAAACATTAATTATACACTCGTGTCTCTTTAATATTTATTCAATAATTAAGTTTGGGTATGCGGGTAACCAGTTTTACTTGGGGATAAGATTGTGAATTGTGATTTAATTACGATTTAATTATGTTGTTAACGGAAGGAGAAACAGTGGTTTAAGTGGGGATTTACAAGGACTTGCAATTATGTAGGGAAGTATTATTATTTCGTACGTAATACAAGTTTAATATTTTTTTTACCATTTACCAGGAAGCTTGTCCAACTTTTCTGGCTCTTGACTAGTTAACTTCAATCAAGCCATATCCCACCCACGCCCACTTATTGCCCAGGTGCAAAGCATCTGGTCTGGTCGGCGTCATTAGCTAGGTAACCCAATTAACCGTCGAAGACATAAAATGACAATATTTTTTAATGCAATTGAGTGCCCGCGATACTCCCCCGCCCATCCGCAGTCTTAGAAAGTGGCTCACTTTCGTTACACTGCACAACAAAGTCACGTTTCCCGGGAGAAAAACACTCGATGTTCCACATAAAGAGCAGGAAGAATGCGTGTAATCGAATCTCGAAGACCGAAAAATAAACATGTTAATAATACAATTTTATGATTAATACGAAGTGAACTGCAACGGGAGGGGGGAGAAGGTGGAGGAGATGAGATGATGTTGCTGTTGTGCCGAGGAAAAAAGTGCGTGGGACGACGTCTTACCTCGTAACCACTGAAGATGCTGGGAACAGGCGAACAACGATGGAGGCTTATTTATAAATCACGCACATAATGAAATTTCAGCAAGTGGTCGCCGCTGTCCGAAAAGCGGCAAAATATGCAGCGTTGATGTGGGATAGCATCTCGATCTCTGGGTGTGTTCGCACTGCAGTTCCATGATATATGCACATCTGCATAATGCCCAGGCCTTTACTGTCCGCTGACATGCCGGCGACATAATGACGAACAGGTCGCAGCTCCCTCCCCCTTTTTTTTTTGGAAAACTTTGGATACTGTCGTGTTACGCATCAGTCCGTGTCAACAGAAAATATGGACGGGGCCCTACGAAACGGGGGACACTTGTACTGCATAAGTAGCCATTAATAGGTGCCATATGCATATCGTTTTGGGGTCTAGATTTTACGAGTGGTTCGCTTGCTTTTAAATGCCTGTGCAGAGCGTGCCGTTTATTTACGATCTTCATTTCAAAAGAGCAAAAGTCTGGCACCGGGACTCCGTCTCCCTTTTGTTTGAGGATCGCTATGGGATGTTGCTGTGGAGGAGGTCGAAAACAAGGCTGGACGCATTATCGAAAAAGGGTTCACATGAATTCGATTTAATGGCCTTAAAGAGGCTACAATGTAAACATGTTTCGGAATTGAATTTCAGTTTAATGGCTCAAACAATCCACAATTGGGGCAGCTCAAGCGAGAAGTTCCCGAAAATAAATTAGTTAACGTCCATAAATATTTAATATTGATGTTTTAAGCAAGTTGGCTTTTAAAAAATTAAAAAGAAAAATGTACCTAAAAATTTTAAAAACTAATATTTTTAGATTTTGGTTTTTTTTTTAAGGATTAATAGATTAATTAGATACCCATTACTCATCGCTGATTTCAAGTGGTAAGAAGCTTTTGGAATCTCTTCATCCTTTAAGGAACAGATAAAATTGTCTTTAATAAAGTTTTCTCTAATAAATAAAAATCCATCATAACAAAAAATAAAGATAAGTAATAGATTTCGAAATCTAAACTTGTAATTCCCTGTCATATTGATGAAGTGGTTAATAATTTTTAGATTACGCCTGCGCGTTGATTCCAAATCCGCGGAAGTTATCATATCGCAAACTCCATTACCTCTCTCCACTCACTTCCTCAATTATTTGCCGGCACTCTGGCCACACTGTCGATGTTTACGCAAATTTTGCACGTGGGCGTCTCGGCTTACTCACGCGTCAAATCAAAAGAAACACAAACGAAGACAAAATGCGGCTGCTGCTGCTGCGACGTCGCGTTTCTCCCCAGAGCAGCAACAAGTCAACAGCTGAGAACAAAAACAAACTGCAAAGGCAGCCAACAAGTTGTCGCTGCCTCAGTCGACGGCGACGGCGGCGCAGAGCGGCGATCACTCCCTTTGCATTTTCAAATTTTCAGTTTCAGTTTTCAGTTCGCGTTGGCACGTTGAACAAGACGGTACGTGTTCGTGGTCCTTCGATAAGTGATCAGAGTGATCGTCGTTCAGTTATCGATCAGTAGCGATAGATCGTTAATCGTGGGAATACCTGGGTTCTGTGACAGTTTTTGAGTGTGTTTTTCAAATCATCCGATTGGATTTGGATACAAGTTTTTCTACAGCACACCATACACATTTTAAACACCGATCCTCAAGCACCGATCCTCCATTTCCAAGGTGTCCAAGATCGCGTCGCGTTCGCCTGCCCGCCGTTAATAGCATAAAAGTGTTTTAATTTTTATTGGCACGAACGGGGCGAGTCAGTTTTGGAGCAGTTGTCGTTGCTGGAGGATCGGCGTCGCGTGTTCGCCTCGATCCTCGATCCCATAAAATCAGCTCCACGAAATCTTCGCGTGTGTCGTCGTCCCCATTCCACCTCTACGCATACCTGGGGGACTTTGAGAAGGGTTTAAATTATCTAATGCATCCGTTTCGTTATCGATTCTTTTAGTGTGAAGAGCCTGCGATTTGTTTGATCTTTCGGTCAGCTGAAATACGTAATAAAAGTGTCTGTGCGGTCGTCCAGGAAGCGGCGGAAAAGTGTGGAAATACTCGTAAAAATAGCTCAAGTCGTTTCCATTCTAAATTGCGCGTTGACAGCCGCAAGTGGCGCAAACAAGCCGAAACAACAAGGAGCTGTCAGTTCCGACCCGCCGAGTAGAATTCACTTGGATCTCTACATCGGCAGTGGGGGCACTTCTCGAGCTCACGAACAACGTCCTTGACCAAGAGGTGAGTGTGAAGGTTGGCTGCAGGCGCTCAAGAGTGTGCTATAAATGTGCCTTTTGTGTGGCCAAAATCTGGGTTAGCCTGGTCATTTCCCCCACGGGAAGTTGAGTGCTCTAAGTGGCCAGGCTGTGCAAACTTGTACTAAGTTAAGCTGTTCTCTAGGAAATAGAGTGGAATTTTTTAAGCCCACACGGTATACTATTTTTCAACAACTCAAAGATAAATATTTTAAATTTTATATGAGGCTTTATAAAAAACTACGACACTCGTATGCCTTCAAAACTTTTAATATTGGCACTATATTAAAAATACAATATATAAACTTAAAAAAATCTAAAATCTCATAATGTTTTGATCTATAGAAGGTAGTCATTTAAAAAACACAAATAACTAAAAATTATGATTATATGATTTTTACAAACAAATCTAAAGCGGATTTAAATTTGGCTATTTAAGGAGGAAAGACAATTTTTCTCTGCTACACCCACTGAGATGAAGCTCTTTTCATTCCATCTTTATTGGTTGATAATAACCAACTTGTTGAGAGGCCAATTTATGAATATTTTTTTATAAGCGCCCCTAAAAGATTACGATTCATTTCACCGCCACTTTATATCTGATGATAAATCATGCTAATTGTTGTTGTAATTCAAATACTATCGATACATATTAATTAGCCACACCCAAGTCAACCGCAATCTCGATGCTAAATCGGCCTGTGGCATCCACAGAGACCGAGCGACATTAATCTATAGGGGATCTTAAGATCTTATCTGCATTGGCGCCATAAATACCGCAGTCGAGTCATAATTTATTAATTACCGGACTTTCCACACATATTTAAGCGAGCAGATTGAGGTTTATTATAGTTTCGAGAGAACTATAATTATGTGATCACATAAGGTCAGAGTAAAGAATATTTGTTCCTACCAAATATGAATCGCAGTCCGAAACAGCAGCCACAGATTGTTAATGATGTTGCCCAATAGAGCTGGACACAATCGCCAACAACGGTTTATATACTTAATTTTATTTGTCTCGATTTCCCAATCACTTTGCTATTTCTACTGGGTTCCGATCTGCTGCTCCGCTACTTTATTCCAAGCGATTCAATTAAAAGACGCCCACTGCAGAGATCTCCATAACAATTTATAACTGCCTGCTCGAGAGACATTTTAGACTTGCGGTTATTTTATTATTTGAATATATTACTTAAAGGCAGTGGCGTTGTGAACGGAAGGGGTGTTTGGACTGAAAGAAGTGAGAAATGAGACCTAATAAATTTAAGATAACCCATAGACTAGTTACTTTCCCTTTAATATTCTGCTTAGTTATGCAATGAGACAAATAAATAAATATTAAAAAAATGAGTTTTGTATTTTTGTTGGCTCTGTCCAAACATTGATACCCTCCACACTCCACACAAATGACTCCAAAGACATGGTAATATTTTTTCTGACCATATATAGAGCTTGAGTTTGACATTATTAAAACATAAATAATATTGCCATTGTTGGTATTGGAATTTCCGCTTGGCAGCGAGTTATGAGTTCATAAACAAATGCAAATTAAGTGGAAAATTGTTGCACCAGCAAATTAGCGCATCGTCAGTGGAAAGTCATTCAGGCGCCAATATCCGAAATCCGACCTTATGTGGTGAATATGGCTAACAAATTTTAATGCTTTGTATTGACTTCAGCTCAAAATTTGCAATTCAAATAAAGCCAAGTCACAATAGGAGCTAGGGCTTTTTTGTGTTGGTTGTTTGGACTGCGGTCTTCAAAAAACTAATTCAAGTCGAATGGAGACGCGACTTCGTTTTAATGGTTCATCAACATAAGTTAATGGGTTTTCGGTTTTGGCCTAATGACAGATTAAACACATTCTCAAACGATTTGACAAGAGCGCCAACAAAAAGTGAGACAAAATCTAATCCGGGAATGAAGAATATCATTTTTAAGTCTGGAGAACGAAGACCTTTCATATTCGATTCGCTTTAATTACATATTCTGCGAAGATATGCAAATTTAGAAGACGACTGTTAGCGAGGTGTGGTCTAAGAAACACCTGACCAACATCATTTAATTATATGGCGGCAATATTCGTAGGCTGCTGTTTATACAAGTCGATGGCAATTTAATACGATTTGGGACAGATTCTAGCTGCTGGCTGTATTTATTTAAAAATGTTTTTTAATGATTTGTAACTTATTCATCATGTATGTTTAGCTTATCGCATGAATATCTTAAATTCTAAATTAGCATTAGATAAAAGATCGACGACTGAAGATTAATAATACCAAAACGCAATTTGCTTAAATATTATTTCATGCATTTTCTTTACACCTAAAATTACAATAATTTTTATCTACTCTGTTTTTTCTGATTGAGCAACTTGGCAGGTGGCAATTACCATACCAGAAATCTCCATCACCCCGGTTTATAATTGACAGACCTTTCAATATTTTGAAATAGGACTCCCATATAACACCTGAAAAGCAGCATTTCAGGCTGTCAACTACTGCATTTTTGTGGAAAATAAATAGTCAAAAATTGAATGGGAAAAAATCCGACAAAAAGACCGAGCCGAAATTCAAATCGATACAAATACAGAAATCAATAAAAAGAGGACGTCAAGTGCCGCTGGAGAGACTATTGAACTCGGGACTGTGACTCCAATCTTAATCTTGACACTTTGAAAGCGACGATCGAAAAAATGGTGGCCCCGCGCCGGAAGTTATACAAAGTCTATTATGATGAAACCAATTTATCAGGCTGCTCAAAATCAATTCAGTTCACCGCGTTTCCATATTTTCGATATTTTGTTGCGTCCAATTATAAAGTGCCGGGAAAAAATTAAACAAAGGCTGAAGAAAGTTAGCTGCAAATGAAAATCCGGCAAAGAATTTCCCTAAGTGGCTTAGCTGAACTCTTTGCTCTTTCTCTCTCGATTTTTCACTCTTTCTCGCCGCTCGTGATGCGTAGGCGCCGGCATAGATTTTTTCCATGTCAAACCAGCAACTGACAGCAGGTTTGCCAGCCATTCAGCCATTCGGAGCCCCAACTCGAACTGAAGTTTTTGGCTAAGCATTTAAGCGCGGCTGATTTGATTTCAGTGACACGACGCCCGCGGCGGCAGCGAAACTTGTCCTGCCCACACGCGACTGCGCCGTTTCAGTTTTCTCAGTCGAGTCGCCGCGCATGCGCAGTAGCTTCGCGAGCGTTTTTCTTTTCGTTTTAATTTTTGCGCCGTTTTAAACGCCCTGGGGGACGTGGACACCACACGGTTGCATGCTGGCGCGATCGGAAAAAGAGTCAAAATATTTGAATTTCTAATGCCATACGAGGGCCGACTCAAGAGTGTATCATTAAGTCATCCAATAGGTTAAAGACAATTAAGATGTTTAGCCTTGCTGTGGAGCTATGTCTATTTATAAAGATTTAAAAAGTATTTTGCAAAAATTTAATTTCTTAAAGATTCACCCAATTTAAGGTATCTTCTTTAAGTTTCAAAGTAAATGGATATCTCACATCATAATTACAAGCTCAACCGTTTTTTTCCTTTTTAAACTTTATTTGGAAACTTTAGATAATTTATTACCTCTATTATCTGTTACTCTTACCAATGAGTATTTTTATATCGTACCATTTCTATTGCCATTAGCATTTTTTGTTATGATAGGATGAAATAAACCTTTTATAGAGGTGCGAAACTTATTCAAATATTTATTTTATCAAAATGCAATAAAGAAATATTATGGTTCGATTAAATAGGTATTTCTACCTCTGAAACAACCCTCGCTGCCAACTGGCTACCCTGGGTTCTTATTTCCCTTACGCTGCCTCGCTGGCCGGCCATATAATCTGATGAAAATGACTTTTCCGATAAGCATCAAATTTCCTTTGATGATAGACCTGAAACGCCTTTGTCACTGCCATGGGAGTCGTTTGCCGGTGACGTGAGGCTAAACTTGTTCAATCGGTTGAGATCAGTGAGGGGTCCAACCCGGCCAGTGGGTGAAGATCCCGATCCCGATCTCGAACCCAAACCCGAACCCTACTCAGTTGCGGTTTTGGTTGCGGCTTCCGTGTGCATTTGCCTTTGCTTAATTAAATGTCAATCAATGTACTCGTCGCTTTATGGAGACGGACTTTGTTTCTGATTTGTCCGCTTTATTAAGTCGATGTGGCGTCCGTCGTCTTCATCATGTGGATGAGATGCTGCTGCGGTTTTTGCTGTCGACTCTTTGGCGTCTCCCTGGCGAGATTCTGTTTTTGGGGCCTCGAGCTGACGACTGCGTGGGCGCTGGACAATAATATATACGCTCGGCCTATGCATGATCTATACCAAACCAATGGCATTAAAAAGTATTTAATAAATTTCAGGCCTGAGGATTATGTGTTTTTAGGTGTACATTCGGAGGTGTTTCCACTTCTGGTTTCGGCTTTTCTTTATGTTCGAGGCGGATTACGCGGTTGACATTTGGTGGGAAATGTTCTGGGTTTCGATCGGTAGCCAGCGGCCAACTTAACTGGATATTAATAAACGTTTCAATGAACACTTGGCACAGATCTCGGGCATTACGCTTGGGTTAAGTTCTTGATAACCTTTCAGGGAATTTGAAATGGATGAATAACTCGGACGACTTAAGTCTTTAGAACTTATAAGAGAGATGGGATGAAATATCTGTCGCATAAGACTGTGATCTAGGAAAATCTTGGTAATATCGTTGGAATTTTACATCTAATCTTTTGTAGATAAATTTAATTTCCAACTGATGGAGGATTTATTCACATTTGAAAAATTCCTAAGATTCTAAATGTTGGTATACATCATGATATGTCTTACTTCTACAATTTCTAGCCTTTATTCTAACTTCCTTGTGGCGCCTTCTTTACAGCTAGGTTCCTAACCATACTAAACCACTCCCAGATTCTGTCGAATGGAAAATAAAAACCCTAAAATACTCTCAGCTTAGCTCGAGTAAAAACTCGCTGTGATCTGCCACCGTTTCCAGCAGTTTTATTACTTGTAGAGAGAGAGAGAGACCGAAGCTCTGGTAATTGCGATTACACCCATAAACGGAACAGATCCTACAGCCTACAGATCACATCCACTTGTGACTCAGTGACATTGTAGCCAAGAGAACGAACAGCCAACAACAGCAACAGAACAACTGCCACTATAAATCCATAACTGTCAGTCAACATTTTGGACCAGTATCGGAGAAGTTGTCGTCGTGTCTTGTATGGCCAGAACGCCATTTGCTTTTGGCCCGGCTCTCATTCGGATTCTGCCTCTGAATCTCAATGTGGCTGGGTTGGAGCATCGTCGACCGTTACCACATTCCTGGGACACCTTCGGGCCAAAGCCAATAACCAACATCTCGGCCACATTTCTTGTGTTTATTTAAGCATGAAAGTTGTGTAATGGCTGGGAGGATCAACTCTGAAACTCTCTATCAATTGGAGTTTGTAACACATCTTGACATTTGTGGCCGCTCAAGTGATGAGCCAAATGCCTAATTGCAACTGTGTATTTTTGGGTGGTATTCTTGAATACATTTTACGACTGCCCCTTGTTTAATACCCATCAGTGAGTACTTCTTTCCACATCCTATTTTATTTTACCGATCGTTAAACGCTGAATTTATGATCACTAAAGGAGGTTGGGATACAGTTTCTTTTCTAGTTTTTTTTATAGTGTTTTAAAAGGAAAGCAGATGGAATAAAGCGTGTTGCTTAATATGGGTTGATCAACTCTTTAACAAGTTTTTAAAATCATAAATTTAATTACGTAATGTAAAGGCAATTTTGCCTTATCTTATCTCAGCCCTTCCAAGAAATAGTTCCGAATATCCAAAATTCACCATTAGGCTCCCATCAACTTTTCCTCGGAACTTCCGCTACCGAAGCACCTGAAAACACAGCCAGGCGAAAACAACAAATCTGAACACACACATTAAATAAACATTTATTTAAGTTAAAAGAGGCATGCAAGAAAGAATGATTGCAAATATCCAACATAAATCTCAGGAAGCTCAAAGAATCCACAATGGGCACACGAGAAAATTACAACAAGAAATATAAAACTTAAGCTCCGAAATGCTTTATGATGATGACGCCCACAGATGGCTAAAGAGATGAAAGACATCAGGGGGGGGAACGCTACACAAATATATCTTTAAGCAGATATATAACTAGGTGATACCCGACCAAGTACTTCCGGCAAAGTGGGGAGTTTAAAACTGAGGGGGAAATCTGAATACGCGTGTTAAAAATTTCAAAAATGCTGCAAAATATTTACCAAACGCTCTCCTTCTGTCTCGTTTAATTCTTCTCCAGCTAAACAAATTTAATTTGAATTTTATTTATTATTTTATGCGATTTTATTATATGCCCGCCACGCAATGCGTTTTACTGGGCGTTTTATTTTTAAACGTAAATAAACAACCACTGACTGAGGACCCAGATCTGATTTTCCTCGCTTTATCGTTTCTTTCTTTTTTATTTATATTTCAGCGGACGGAGAGATTTTGGAGTGAGGTGCCGGTACCCCCTCCCTTAAAAAAAAAAAAAAAGCACCGAAGACAACAGCAACAACCGCGATGAATTGGACGCGCGTGCTGCTAATCGGGTTGACCGCCTTGGCGCTGACATTTGTGGAGGTTGCATCACTCTCACTCGATCCAGGTAAGTGCCAACGATCCACCTTCCCCGCACTTTGCATTCCGGCAAAACTCTTCTGCCTAACTGTTCAAAGACCTGAAAATCACAGTAAAATTCCCGGTTCCATGCACTCAGAAAATGAATCGCCCTGAATTTTAGAAAATCGCCTATGGATTTGCTTCACTGGCGATTTTTTTCTTTAAAATAAAAAAATTTTCTACTGGTAAAGAAAATTTTCTTCCAATTAATCAAAATTCATTAAATTCAAGAAATATTCCAGAAATATAGAAAAAAATCGCCAGTAAAGCAAATCCATAGGCGATTTTCTAAAATTTTTTTTTGAGTGTGGGTATGTTTGGCTTATAGAAATGGAAAATTGATTTTAATAGATAATGTTGTATATTTATTTCCGAATGTATAAGAGTTTTCTAATATTTAATAATAATATATAATAGATAGAATTTTATTTCCAATTATGTCAACATTTTAAACTCCTTTTGATATTTTTAAGATGGATTAAAAATTCAAATTCCCCTCAAAAAACTAAAAAATTTTATAAATAAATCTGTCCATATATATTTCTAAATGTGCAGTGTATGTACATATTTTTACGGTTTCTTATGGTTAACCAAACGACTGCAGCATCGTCAATGTTTGCCGAGAAACGCCCGTAAGCCATACTTTTGGTTAACAACTTTGCGATTTATGTAAATCTCGAGCTCAAATCCCAATGCAAACGTCGCCAAATGACAGTGGGGTCACCAGTTGTTGAGTTGGTGACCTCCCTGGTCCGTAGATGGAGATATTGCAGCCCGATCACGAGCCGTGGGCCCTGGCCCCAGACCATCTCGCGACTGGAAATCGCCACTTTTATGCCCGTGTCCATGTCCATTTCCACATCCACATCCATGTCCACGTCGTGAAGGTCACCTGGCATGAGCCTGTCAAAAGTCGGTGGCTGCCAGCATGACAAATATCCGCACAAATGCGTGAAATTCTATATAGAGTCGTCGTCTTGATGGATTCCTTTGCGCCACGGGCTTATTTGGATTGTGCAAATACTACGGTGTATCGTGTATTTATTTGGGTTAACACCGCCAGCAGTATTAGAGGCAATCTCTGGGTGACCAAAATAAATAGTTCCATGTTCCCTGTCCGAGGTGTTGTAATCCGTGGCAGGCGAAATAACCGAATGCCAATGTTTGTGGGCAAATAGAGCAAGTGGCCAAGACTCGGTTTACTTGAAGAGATTAACAAACATGACCCAATGATGATTTGGGTACCTAAAACCGTATTATCTCTGTTTATATTTGGCTGTTTATTGAGTAATCAATATGTGTGCGGTTACGGGAGAACGGAAGTTGTTCTTAACAGTTTCGAAACTGATCGCCGAACAGTAAACGAGATAAGACACGAAAGAATATCCCACCAAAAAGTATATTCTAAAATAACTATACAGTTCGATTCTGCTAATGGTTATTTTTGGTGTTTTATTTTTATAAAATGAATAATATTATTATTTTGTTATTTCCATCTACAGTTGCCTCTGCTGAACTGGAACAGTTTATTCGAAAGGGAGATGTGGTTATTTCAACGCGTCACATACGGTAAGTAATTAGCAGACATTGGATTATGTGAAAGAACGTATTCTAAACATTGAATACGTAGCAAATAAAAAAAAGTTTCAAACAAAAATAAATTATGATTTTTGAAAAATATTCTGTCTTTGAATTTGATTGTTGAAAATACTGTTTTGCATATAATTCGATGTTTAGTTATTAGTAACGATTCTAAGGAGTGATTTCTGATTCTCCCCTCAATTAGACCTCGTCGAAAGTTGCACATCTCTATAGAAGCCCTCTTTATGATTGACTTTCCCATGCTGAAGCATAAGATGTCCTTCTTCCTGGACCGCAAACAGCAGCGGGTTACCCTGGACATCAGTGCGAATGGAGCCACCGAGTCGCGGAACTTCGAGATACCCAACATCAATGAGACGAGCACCATCCGATCGCTGGCTCTGCAGTTCTCTAAGAATCGAATAACCCTCTATGTGGACTGCAAGGCGAGTACGCATCACGACATCGACATGAACCTGGCCAAGTTGTACACCCAGATGGATGATCCGGTGATCAAGCTGGTGAGTGGATGCTAGCCAGTCGAAGGCGAGATTGAAGGTGACTAAACTATTCCTCTGACAGTTCCGTGAGCGCAAGTACCCACTCCACTTCGACGGCGACATGGAGCACTCCCTGCAGCGGGCCAATTGCCAGAAGGGCATGCATCGTCGGGGCAATCGTCGCATGCTGCGCAACAAGATCACCGAGCGTGGTGAGTTATACCTGACAATATTTGGCTCCCTACGACCCACCCAATTTTGCATGCATTGGGAAAAATAATGTATAAATTCTGCTATTAGCCATATTTATTTGATGATTTATAAGGTTTTAAAATTTAAATACTTAGGGCCGTTTTCTCGTTCGTTTGTTAAATTTGAAGTAGTGTAAAAACCTTGAAATCGTATGGGAAATCAGAGCTTTAACCCTATTTAAAACCTTATATATTTTTTGTATTTTAAACCTTATAAACCCTTAAAGTTCTTGAAATTAAAAAATGTTACATTTAAAAATTTTTGAAAATAAATAAAGGTGGTTCATAACATTCTCTATAAGAGTTTTAGATTTGAAAAGAATACAAGTTGTATTTTTAAAAAAGCCATTATTTCTAAATCATTTGGAACAAGTGTCCTAATAAAAAAATAATAATAATAGTTAAATCAGATCAGATAGTTAATATAATAATGTTCCATTACCATATCCTTAGAAGCTGATTATTAAGATGGCATTCGTCCTTTTTTTAATATTTATACTTTTTATATAATTATTATAATCTTGTACTTAATCTATTAGGTGGTTTATTTTAAAGGTTACATCAATTGATTACACCTAATATTTTTCCTATACTTTTTCTCTGTGTCTCAATCATTGCAGAGAAGAACAAGAAGCGAGATGTGCGCGGCTGGTATGAGCCAACGATCGCCAGGGAAGGAGTCGTGGACAACCGGCACCAGGAGGTGCCAACGAACGTGGATCGCGGCGACATTCCCGTTCTGAATGGCGATTGCGAAGGTAGGTTTACTCACCTCAACCACCCATTCGGCGGCTATCAACTGTCAGTCGGTAGTCAGTCGAGGCAGTCAACGGATCTGGGCGTAAAGGCGTGGCTCCTTTCCAAAACGAGGGCTTCCTACAGATCCGAGGGTTGGACTGCTGCCTAGATTAGATGCTCGTTTTGATGAAATTATTTGACTTTTGTCAGTTGGCGTTTATGTCACTCGAGGAACATAATTCAATTAAGCAAATGTTGCGGAGCAACCTGAAATGGGGTATTTGTGTGGGTTGGGGAACTGATTCGGGGGATTGTTGCATCGAGTGGGGGCTTGAATGGTTGAATTTCAATGGCATGTGCAAGTGAATGAACGAGGCCTTGAAAACCAGTAGACCCATTCTCAAATTGTAATGCTATCGTATCAGAACAGCAAGTAAAATTTTATTAAGAGAAAATATATACGGCCTGATAACTATATTTGGTCAGTGACAGAATTAATTGTGTTGAATAAGCGGAGGAAACGAATCTGTCAAAATAAAATAACTGATTTTGATTAATAACCTAAAAGTTGACTGTATAAGGCAACAGATATGTGGGTTGCCAAATTTAAACGCAAATAGTTTAGCCCTAGAAATACAGCAAGTGATTCCTTAAAGCAACTCTAGAGGTTAATACCCTTGTAATACCCTTTTCCATTACCAATTTGCATGGCCTTAAACCATCTTCGCTCAACTCGCTAATGCCTTATAAATCTGGCAAGCAATTAATAACGACCCATACACTATCTATGGCTGCGTAATATAGCCATAAGTACCCTCATCGATGTCACTGTCTTGGCCAATAAGTCGCCGCTAAGTGATCACAGCGAAAGGGTAATATCGGATGGAGGGTATGGGGTCTACGAGGCGCCCACAGAGCGAAAAACACTAATGAACGGCGAGATATGACAAAGCCATGCATAAGCTGTGCACTCGCTTCTTATATAGTACACATAGCTTGGTGTCGAGCCGGCATAATTATTATTTATCTGGCTCAGAGCAAAGACACCAAATTGGTAGCCTAGCCAGCTACGATCTGTACCCACACAATCTACACTTAGAAATGCGGACTGGGTTGTACATTTCAGAAAAATTAGGTGTCCCCAAATAGATGTGATTACTTAGACTTTTTTCATTGCCAGGAAATTAAAGAATAATAAAATATAATATAAAATGTTAGGAAAGAAAAGGATTAATTTTAATTTTGTAAAGATCTCTTAACAAATTGTTAAATTTTGTATATATATATATATATCTGGCTTAATTATGTTCTAGATATTATTCAAGGTCTTTTTTCTTAACTTGTAATTCTTTTTTAAATATTTTAACTTAAGTTCCCTTTAATAACTTAAAAACCAAGGTCTTTTTTCTTAACTTTTTATTCTTTTTTTAATATTTTAACTTAAGTAACTTTTAAATGACTTAAAAGCCAAGAACGCCTAAGTTCTCCGAGTGCAGTCGACATGAGTACGGGGCGGCATATAAATCGCAAAGGCAAAAGGCAACGACAACGGCAAATCGTAATGAATGAATTACGTGGCCACGCCGCCGACGAACCAGATAGAAGCGAAGGTTGCCAAATGTAACCAAAACGAGATCGAGATTGCTGGGGCGAGGACCCGATCCCCAATCCACGAACCGAGTTGGAACGGATGCGTTTGGGCGTTAAGGCGGCGGCGGCGTTTTCAATGTTGACAAAACTCAAAACTCACTCAGGCTTTCAGCGAGGTAAACCGACAAAGTCAGACAGATGTGCCCGTAGAAGCGACCACTAGTCGCTAGATGAACTAGTTTGCTGGTTGCCATGTGTCTTACACGGTGTTGTACAACTTAAGAGGCCTAGAGATGACAGATCTATAAGCGATATATTGCAATTTGTTGACTTGGCCAGGATGATCACAGGAAATTGAGATATCTGGTATTTCAAGTCGAAATGCTCTGCCGCAATTCTGCTGAATCGAATAGTGTTTTTTTATTCGTAATAGATTTTATGATGATTTGATGAATAATGTTCTCATTATTTTTCATCAGTCACCGTTTTATCGGACACTTCCGTTTGCGAATACTTAGTCATATGCATAAATTATTAAATTCGATCATTAACAACATAAGCCTACACACAAAGTATGCATATATTTAGTACCTGGATTATTCCGTTGTCTCCAATTAATCAGCAGACTGACTCATCCCTAGAGCTCCAAGAAAAAGAGAGCCGCTAAATCGGGATTGGGTGTTCGGTGCTTTGTTGTCCCATTGCATTAAGCTGCACTAAAACGCCGAACGCATTAGCAGCTGTTCGAAATCCTGCATCCATTGGAGCGACAAAGCGGATTAGGTTGCAATCAGAGGGTCCCCACTCCGAAATCCAAACTCCGAACTCCGTTGAAATGAGTGCGATTTTTGCATCGGTTGTACCTTAATCTTGTCAGACGCTTGAACGCTTCCCACACACACAACACATTCGCTTTAGTTCGGGGTGTGGAGGGTGTTCGTGAATTATTGTTGCTTTATTTAAAGTCTCCCCCCACCGAATCCCGACTTATCTCAACTGCTCGACTCATTGTTCCAAACAGACGCCCTCGCACGCTCGCTGGCGGATTTACTGGCATTGGTGAAGCTGCTCCGCGAAGACGTCGCCCACCAGCGCCAGGAGATTGCCTACCTGCGGATGCTCTTGGAGAACTGTGCCGGCTGCAAGAATCCCCTCAGCAACGACAACCAACTACGCATCGAGCCCGACTGCCGATCCGCCAATCCTTGTTATCCTGGTAAGTGCGATTACCCAAAATATCGGGGGTAAAAGGGGGATTAGGCTAATATCAGACCATTATGATAAGGAACTTTCTTTTAAATTAGCTTACCTTAATTACCTTACTTAATTTGAATTCTTACAAATTTGATTTATTTTGAATAAATTATTGATAATAAGTTATTGATCAATCAATGAAAAATGTTTAACAATTTAGAAGGATTTTTTTATGTTACTAGTTTTTTTTTGATCTCATAAGCTATTTCATGGCATTTTTAAATATTTTTCCAAAGCTGCAAGAAATATTGGATGATTTTCAAATGAGACGATAAGGTAAACATATTGCACGAGGCGAGGATTCTTGCGCACTTAAGATCACATTAAATTTTTTAAAACACAACAATTTAGCATTTAGCATTAAAACCTTGAAATTGTATGGGGAATCAGAGTTTTAATCCTACTTTAAATGTAACTGGCGGACAAGAAAACGGGCTTTAATATTTTTCCAAATTTAAACTTAATTCCCATTTTCTGTATATTTTTTTAGGAGTGGAGTGCCTAGACTCGGCGGCCGGTCCCAGATGTGGCCACTGTCCCCTTGGCTTCATCGGCGATGGCAAGACCTGTAAACCGGGCGTTACCTGCGCCCACCACATCTGCTATCCGTAAGTCTGTCCTGCATCCTTATCCCCAATCCCTGTGTGTGCTAAATACTCCTGTGCGTGTGCTTGTGCTCTTCGTGCGCCTGTGCGAACAGAAATTAACGCGCCTTGTGGAGTTTTTAATGGCGTCAAGGGCGTGGCCATCGCATCCATGTTAATTGTATTTGTCATGCTGCGACTCCGAGGGCTTGAAAAGCGCCGCCATCCGAAAGGCTTATCCCTGCCCTGACTGTGCAATTATTTGCATTTGGCCTTAATGGCAATTTGATGTTGTTTATGGTTTGATGATCTAGTCAAACAGCAACGCAGCTACAGCGCCTCCTTGACAAGCTCCTCACAGCCCAACCCTCTATCCACATCCTCATTTACATCCATATGCATATCTGTGATTGATAAGCACGTGATGGCCATTGAGAAGAAGACACATTTAGGCCTTTATTTACTCTGTGAATTCTACGAATAAGTGGAAGCCAGGAGGCCATGGGACATAAGCTGGTTACCCAGAACAGAGTAAGTGGATTGGGCTGTGAGTCATGTGAGGGCTTGTAGAACCTGTATTCTCACCTTCTCCCATCTGATAAGCTTTGTAGATCGTAGATATGTCAATTCGAATGCTCAGACTTCCTAATCCCCTCTTACACTGCGAGATTTCCCATTTCTTACGCATTATCAAGTCGGCATAATCAAGTCGCAGTGAGATAGGTATTCAAATGGTCTTTCAGAAGGCGACTTATCTATCGAATGATCTCTTTGATCCGACTAAGATTATTAATGAGGTCAGGCAGTGCGATTGGAAATAGAAATTTTGATCATCTGAATATAGATTTATAGTTAAGTCGCCTGCTGATATAATAATGCCGCCCACAATCCGTATCAAGTTGTCATTTTCGAACCGGAAGAGCTTGTCACAATCGGGAAATCAATAAAGAGGTAAATATTGTTCTGGCGCTGGTTATCAAGTCGCTGCCAAATTTGTGTCGAACCCAACTAATTATGCAAAAGACCCACAGCACTGCTGGGGAGCCTAATAAAAACATTATTTCGGGCCTGCATCATAAATATGTTAAACAAAACTATAACAAGTTATGCGTTGTAACGGAGCTGGAACTCGAAGAAGAAGTAGAATATTTTGTAGATATTGTTGGACAAAATGCAACAAAACCATTGGCACTAGAGAACCCCGAAAAGCTGTGAGGTCTGGACCACAAATGGCACTTGAGGCAGCCGCATAAATTAGTTAAATGTGAGCCAGAATAAAGAACCCGCACCCAGAGTCCGATTCTGAGGACCGACTGATTTCATTGTGTCAAGATACTTAAAGTGATTTCTATTATTTTTTCTTTTCATTTCTGGCCGGGGCAACCTGAGCGCCTAGCCTCTCCTGGCCACGCGCATGCGCTCCTATTGGGCCATAAATTTGAGTAAATTATTGGAAAAAGAGCACCCACAGACCTAAGAACAGTGTGTATTTTGTAGGTGTCTAGGGATCGCCTCAGTTTGTTTACTTTTCCCTGGGTTGCGGGCAAGGTGCGCCCCTGACCGTATTTTAATTTGCATAAAATTGCCTTAAATGTTGTCACGACGCCGACTCGTTACTGTCATCTTTCATTATCGATGAAATGTGGTCAATGTGTGTGGCAGGCCCAAAAGCCGGGCATCGAAAACCCAATCATTTTAATTTAGAACCTACACACAAAAAAAAAACTTGGTAAAATCAACTGTAATAATTGTCAAACAGGCCCCAACCAGCAAAATTGTCAATTCTAATAAGTAAATAGTCATTTCACAACAACAAAATACACACAATTAGCAAAGACACAAACCCAAAGCAAAAACAAAATACACGTAACTATTTTAATAGTTACGTGACTATCTTTGTTGGTCTATTTTACCAAGCAAATTTTTTTGTGTGTACCAAATGTCATCTCAACTTGGTCATCGCTTTGTTTATTTTCACTTTGATTCCGACTCTCATTCTTTCTTTCCCAGTCTTTGGAAGACTATCGATTCTATTAAAAGGCCGTAAAACTTGCACTAATGACAACGCACACCTGTTGATCCTTTGTTGTGGCAGCTATCGTGTGTGTTTTATGGCGGTATTATATGTAAAGGTTCCAATATCCCTGTCCCTGTGGCGTCCAGTTGATGGTCGCTTTTGAACCGGGTTGTATAATGGATTTAATAATGAAGGGTTTTGGTTCCCAAGAGTGGTAGTAGCGATCTACATTGATTGAAATTGTTTTCTAGGAAATTAAGAATGGTTAACGTCTTAAAAACCTCTTGTAATTTAGGAAGATTTTTTAATGAAATGTTGCCATACAAAAAAGGCTCACCTTTTCTTAATAACTTGATTCCTTTGCAGTTCCCTTTTTGCTAGAAACCCCCGTCTTTTTGTGCCCATTTCGTTTTCGCCCAGCACTTTCCATTTCCCAAGGTAAAAATCCAGGTGGTGAGCTAACTGACCACCTGAAAAGCCAATCATAACTTGGCCCCAGGCCGTTGACAGTCGGGCGCCTTCGCCCAGAAAGTTTTCACTGCGCACACACTTCTGTTGTTCAATTTAAATTATGCATTTGACGAAATAATCAGCCATGCAATCAAGCTGCAGGTCCCCGAACCTCGGGAGATAATATTACCATCTCGAGATCGGAGATACCGATTTGGAGTGTGATTCTCAGGCAGATTCCGATTTCGATTCCGATGCGATGGCAGCTGCAACATGTGTACGAGCTTGTTGAACAATTCCCGCGACAGAATTCCAACTTTGATTGAGGCAACTTTCCCACAGATTCTCAGTTTTCCGCTCCAAAGTTTTCTACTCCTCTCTTTTCGAACCAACAAAACGTTTACGGCCACAGGTAAAAGCAGGAAAAGCCAAGAGTGGAAGCAGCGGCTAGCTGGTTCACAGCTCCGAAACATCAAAGTTCGGTGGAACGCATATCTCAGTGTGAATCAAGTTCGCCTACGCATCGGGAAAAAAGTGGATCCATTGATTCCAAGTCGTCGTGGTTTTTGTTGTTACTTCGCCTAGGTTGCCTGGGTTGCCGTGGCTGTTGACTATGCGGCTGTGGCAGCGTTTGACTGCTTGAATTCAAATTAATAGTCGACTGGCAGCGATTCCCACCCTGCCCTCGTTTATGCGCAACGAAATTTCACGATAAGTCCTTTAAGGCATTAAATAAAACCAACAATAGATCATTATTTTGATTTGCAAAAGCCCACTCAGTTTAATGCGAAATTTGGTCCTATTCTGTAAATTTTGAAAAGGGAAATAAAAATATAACGAGGACGGAAGCTAACTTCGGCAAGCCGAAGTTTTAATACCCTTGCAGATTTTACGAATTAAAACTTGACTAGACTAGCAACATGAATTAATAAACAACAAAATATTTTATAATTGAAAAAATAAAATTTTAAAATTTTTCACCCTATTGTTCCTATGGGAGCTATAGGATATAGACGCCCGATCGGCACGCGCGTTTACCCTAATGAAGGTACGCACAAAAAAATACGATTTGGAAAGTTTCATGGGAATAGCTAATATTTTGCGCGAAATATCCTGAAAAACGTCAAATTTTGACCGATTTCACCCTATTGTTCCTATGGGAGCTATAAGATATAGACGTCCGATCGGCACGCGCTTTTACCCTGATCAAGGTAATAAAAAACAAAAAAATACGATTTAGAAAGATTCATGCCAATAGCTCTTACACTGAGCGAAATATCTTCATTTTTGTGAAAGCTATATCCGATTGTTCCTATGGGAGCTATAGGATATAGACGTCCGATCGGGTCGGCTTTCAAACTTGATCTGCGTACACATGTTTTAGGACGACTGTGAAAGTTTCAAGGCGCTAGCTTTTAAACTGAGCTCGCAAACGGTATTGAAACAGACATACAGACGGACAGACGGACATGGCTATATCGACTCCCCTATTGATCCTGATCAAGAATATATATACTTTATGGGGTCGGAAACGTCTCCTTCACTGCGTTACAAACTTCTGACCAAAATTATAATACCCTCTGCAAGGGTATAAAAAATATTTCCTACATGTAACCAATTTAATTATTAAACGGCAGCTTTAGTATACAGTTGTCTGATTAGCAAGAACTATTACCCTGAGCAACGTATACATAAATAAATAAGATTTGCATATTTTCATGTCAGCAGCTTTAGTACTGCAAAAATGTCATGTAAAAATAGAAAAAAAGGGATATTTTCACATCATTTAACTATTGTTAATATGAAAAGTATGAGATATAGACGTTCGATCGGCACGCGCTTTTACCCTGATCAAGGTACGCACGAGGAGGACAGCGCTGTAGAGTTGGCGTGGCACACACGCATAATAAACTTGCGCTGAATAGAAAGCAAAGGAAACTAAATCTAAAACGCAAACAGTCTAGCTCCTATAGCGAATGTGGGCTTTAGAGTGGGCGTGGCACGTACGCATAACAAAATCTTATAGCGAGTGTGGGCGTTGGAGTGGGCGTGGCACATACGCATAACAAACTTGCGCTGAATAGAAAACAATGGAATCTAAATCTAAAAGTACAAGGCTCTAGCTCTTATAGCTTCCGAGATCATTAAAAAAAAGTTCAATTATGATGGTAAAAAATGAGACAATTCCTTCAGGTTTTAAATGCATGGCCCATACACAACGCTTTTATGAGAATCGAGGAGGAGAGCACCTATACCTTCAAAAAAGTTCATGGTCAAAAATTATGAGAATCGAGGAGGACAGCGCTGTACTATCGAAAAAAAGGAACTTTGTGTAATAATATATAAAAACGAGGACGGAAGCTAACTTCGGCAAGCCGAAGTTTTAATACCCTTGCAGATTTTACGAATTAAAACTTGACTAGACTAGCAACATGAATTAATAAACAACAAAATATTTTATAATTGAAAAAATAAAATTTTAAAATTTTTCACCCTATTGTTCCTATGGGAGCTATAGGATATAGACGCCCGATCGGCACGCGCGTTTACCCTAATG